AACAACTTCGTGTCTGCTTATTGATGAAAAACATTGAATTATCAATTAATGCCGAGGTTAACAGAAAGTCGGTCATGGGAGTTATTGGAAGCAGCTCAAAAACGATCCACTCTGGAGATGCACACCTGGAATTTGTGTGACTATAATATACAGTTATCCAACATGTTCGACGAAGATAAGACTCTCGCCAATTCTCGCGCGATATGGAATTAATAATAGAAGAGTTTTATATCCAACGGTATCCTCTTAACGATTTACCGCCTCATCGTGGCTAGGAGGTGCTCTTCAGCATAGGGCTGTACAGCGGGAATTCACCCAAGCCGGGGTCTCCCAAGCTGAAAAGGAGTCCGGAGTTTTTGTCAAAAAACTTGGGTAAGAGTAAACCAATACCAGGATCACCACCGTGGTGATATGAAACAAGTCGCATGGTGGAAAATCTTCCTTTGATCCACAAGGGCTGCGACTGCCTATGGTGGTGAAGACCTAGGGCAGACTTTGGCCAGGCTGACCTCACAATTCCAGATAACCACAGTGGCTTAATGGCTTAACCAGCATAAAGCTCTTTCTTAAAGTTCTCGGCGTTGATCAATCCCTGAGGGATGCGCCATACCTTCAACTTCATTAAGTATCGATAGAGGTGATTGAATGCATACCTGCCATTTACAATGACGCGGTGGCCTACCGATGTATCGAGCAAGTGCTGCTATCCTTCTAGATAAGTCTGGAACCAATTTGCCGACCCCGGAGGAATGGAAGGGCTGGTGGGCCATGGGCGCTGGGATCGATCCCATGTGTGTCGCAATGGCGCCTCCGACCACTGCGCCACACGCGCCTCTTAACCACCAAACCTCGGTAAAATGAAGACCATGCTGGGGCTCGCACAACCAGTGAGGACGGGCCGTTCAAGTATCAAGTATCAAGTAAGAGTCCTATATGAATCCTTTTCGAACCACAGTTGCCGTCTTAGGTCATTCCGTGCTGGAGAAAAGCAGCCCGAGATCATTCCTCTGGAATTCGAATTTAGCCGGAAACAATGAAGAGAGGTGCGGCCGCTCCAGGATCCGATATTATCACACAAACTTTCTTCGAGCATGACGTTTTAAACTAAATGTTCTTTTCCTAACCCATACGACATATTTACTTCAGAAGAAGAAACTCCTAGAGCAGTAGAGGACATTGCACGCCGTTTTCCTACCCAAGAACGGTAACTGAACGAATTTTTATCACCATCGTCTGATATGCTTGTAGCGTTTAATAGCCTGTTAGCGAAGACTATCCTACTGGGTCTCAATGTAATCGCTTTTTACTGACTGCCTATTTCTTTTCATGACAGAGTATGCTGTGAAATATAACTATAACGGTGGTAATACAACCACAATTGCAAAATATGGTTGAGTGGAAGACGAGACGACAGGACCGCACGCTGTGGTGGCGGACGCGTTAGCCCGCCGGAAAGGGCAATAGCGTGTTCGATCCCCACAGAGAACACCTATCGTCCGCAATTTTGCAAATATATCAGCCTCAATGTGGTTGTATTTCACATGATACCCTACCATGAAAAATTGTAATAGGTAGTAAATAAAAACTTAACATAGTGATTTCGACTACAGCCTCAACTTAACTAGGTTCCTTGCCGATTTGGGCTCCCTAGGTTAATCCCCTTGGAGGGTGATTGCTGTTGGCGCTGATCGATAGAACGAGCTGAGAAAAAGTTAGCATTATTTTAGCACCATTGTGGTTATATCCTATTCGGTATTCCAAACACTTTAGATGAGGTACAGGTCGCTGAGTAAGCAGGATTGCGAGGATTCTACTACAGGGACCATATCCAAACCATGTTCAGAACCATAGAAGTTTGCCGAAAATACTAGCTTCCACTTGCTTGTCTACTATGATAAAGCGTTTGACAGCGTGAGCGCAAATATTCCGAAGAGTGAACTCCACGATGGAGCAAACGTCTTCTTGAACGATCACGTTAACGCTTGAAGGACCTGCTCGTAATTAAAATGATTCAGCTGTACCCACAGCTGCAAGGCAAATGTTCTACAGGTACGAGACTCGCGAAAGTCATCTTGTTCGAAGCAGAACATCAACGCCACGAACGACGCCAGCACGAAAGAGGAACTGGAACCGAAAGAGGAAAATTTGCGCTGAAACGAACCGCAAACGTCTGTGGTGGAAGTCGAACTAGCTATTGCCCTTTCCGTGGGTTAACGTGTTTACTACCGCACTATGCGGATCTTTCATTTCGCATTTTCTCAGCTGCGTTTATAACCATTCTGTGTCACAGTGTTGGGAAAACTTCATGTTGACATTGATAATCTATACCATCTGCTCTCCTACTGATAATCGAGTTACCAAACTTGACGCCTAGAAACCGCTATGGCTTTCTATTGCTGCCCCGTGTTCGTTGACGCCTTCCACTCTGCACTAACAAAATTCCTTTCTTCTACTGTCTTTGTGGAAAATCTGACCTAATTGGTTGACTTCCCGCTGTTTGCTTACCATACGCTTAGGTGCAGTCGTTAACAGCTCTTTCCTAACTGTTTGAGATTAATTTCCTGAGTTAAGCGGGAACTCGTTTCACTAGGATTCCTCTTATACATCAACGATATCTGCGATTAATAAGTCGACAAAGAGGTAACGTTTTAACAAGTTGAATCAGAAACCATACTGTTTGTTATATGAAGTAACCGTTCTCCTTCTAAAAGGAATTTTCTAAAAACACCACAAATCGGCTAATAACTCAGCTCCGACGAAATGAAGATCAACTAGACGCAAAGTGATCGTCGGCAGCTTTGAGAAATAAATATAAGCACACCACAGTCGAATTTAGCATATCCTTTGTTGGCTCTGGAGATGGCGAATGCAAGTCCAGCTATGCAGAACGATAGCACGAGGACAACACTAACTGCGCACAGTCGCAGAGATCTAAACATTCCATATTGGATTTATTTAAAGTAAACACAGAGGCTTTACACAGGATAAAAATAAAAACACAGGAGCAGGGCTAGCTGTCTTCCACTAGAAGTACTCATTTTTTAAATTTTTATTTACATGACCCATCACTCATCTACTGTGCAGGTCGCAGACATTCTTTCATGCGATTCCTTTTCCTAGCTTTCATCGTCTTCAAATTCACCATCCCTCGTGTTTACCAATTTGTTGCTGAACAAGCGCGAGAATGGTAGCACAGCATTTGTTCATTTCCAATAGCCGATTTTTCTGCGGTTTCGCCTTTTTCAGAGCCAGGAAAGGTCCCATTGACAGCCATCTAGTCAGCGGAACACTTCGTATTCATAGCAGGAAAAATTTAATACATTATTCCCCATTAGCATAGTAAACAGCTTCTTTTCAATACTCACAGTTTTTTCTACTTCTATTCAGCAAACACGAAGTGCTATTTTATTTCTTTATTTACGTACAAACTAGCGTTTCGGCGGATTTCGCCTTCCTCAGAGCCTGGAAAGGTCAAGTTGATAGCAATCTACTCGGCCAGACGCCTCCATAACCAAACAAAGGAACTCTAAACCAAGATTTCAATCACATTGAATACAGCTTTGCACACTCACCGCTTTCTATGAGGTTTCCACTAAGTATGTCACGTAGAGACCAACCGCACAGAAATCACATGGAAGCATAATGTGCCCCTTCCATCAGAATAGCAGTCTTATATACTGCCCTATATCACATAATGAGGCATTCTTCCCTGCGGTTCATTTTCGGATTTCTGGAATTAATCCAGAACGCCTCGAGAGTTTTGCGCGCTTGTGTTCTTGATTCCTGTGCGAGGATCGTGACACGTACTTCAAAGTCCTCCCGGTTATGTCTCTGGGTCCTATGCGTGCCTAGCGGGGTATTTTGTCCAATCAATGCAGAGGTTAATAGAAAGTCGGACGTGGGAGTTACTCACAGTTTTGTTCTTTGCAAGCTTTCTAGCTATTTGGTGGAGAGCAGTGGCATAGGACCTTACATGGGTGAGAAATGTGCTTAAGTCAGATCAAAAAATCAGCATAGACTAGGCAACAAGGGGACGTCATCTGATTACTAGGAACACTTCCTTGCGGTTTATCATTTGGATCTCTAGGGTTTGTCGAATTCACGTCCTGGATTTAACGCGCTGATATTTTGGCCGCCTGTGCGAATCGTGAATTTTTGCTTCAAAATCTTCATCGTCATGCTTTTGTGTAATATGCGTGCGTAGTGGAGTGATCTGCTTGAGTATTCCGCCCTCCCCCCTCCCCCCCCCCCCCCNCCCCCCCCCCCCCCCCCCCCCCCCCCCAGACTTTACAAGAGTTCAGATAAACCATACCGGGTCCTGGGATTTCGCGTGTTGCTTCGGCTCATGCGCTTGATGATTGAGATCCTTCATGAATGTAGTAGAATGTTGGCCGAGTTGATTCTTCTTGCAATATTGCAGATAGCCAACCTAAGGCGGCCCCACGTGGATTGGAGCACAGCATTGGAAATAGTTGAACCAGCACCTTGCTTTTTTTTGGACTGTACCAGTATCCATTCAGCTTTTCTCCTTCAAAAGTATTCATAACATCTCCAGATTATTCGACAGCATTGAATATGCATAAATATCAAATATGGTGCACCAAATGCGTTCCTAGAACAGGAAAGCAGCAATGGAGTAATTTTCTTGGAATCAAATAGATGTTCTTTCCACATGGCCGTACATCACGTGCTGGGCTAATCGAAGCTTTTCCTTCTTCTATTTGTTTCCTCACATCGATCATCCACGAATGCCTTCAGGTGAGAAACTGACTGTTGCTTATGGAGCCAGGTGTAAACCTGTGTTGTGATAAAACCCTGCGAGTCTCTTTATCTATTTTCTTGCTAAAATCGATGAAAATAAAAGAATTAGCATTGAAAGTGCGATGTTCTTCGAGACCTTTGAGTGGGTAGACACAGTTGGGAAGCATTGACGTGCGATTTGATGGCATTCGCTTGGCTAAGCGGGCAGTTAGTGAACTCTGAATGCGAATTGTTTGAAGAAGTAATGGAACTAAATTGCCAAAAATTGATGCAAAAAGGTCTGAAAATTCGAATTCCCTAATACAGTATGAAAATGGGGTGGGGATAGCGTAGTGTGTTAGTGATGCCATCGATCGGGAATCAAAAAGCGCCAATTCTACCCTGGCTGCAGCGATTTCTTCCAACCCCCGTTGGAACGCGTTAGCCCAGCCGTCTCCAAGATTTCAAGGAGAATCGACTAGACCAGTATTCCACGACATTCATAAATAACAAGAAATCCTCAAGCAGCAACTGAAACAACACGCGAAATGTCAGAAGACCGTTGCGGATGATGAATGCCGAGGAAAACGAATTAAATGTAAGAGGTGCTGGGATCCGCACGGTAGACATGATGACGAGTCATGTAAAATGTAGAAAAAAAATAAAATTAGGAAAAAATTACGGAAGAAAAAATTAGAGAAAAAGGTAAATAAGAGGTCCCGGTGCTCTGAACTTGAAACGGTTTTTATGTTATGCCGCATGTCACGTCCTGTGTGCTCACGTTAACTACTATCTGCATTCGCGGGAAGAAGGAATTCATGGGTTCCAAAGTGCGCCATGACGTCATTATGTTCAATGCAAGCTACCACAACGACCGTCCGTTGCTCGAGAAGGAAACGATTATATCTGCTTGAGACTACACCAGTTGTGAAGACAGGTTATCTAACCCAAGTGTTACAACTTAATTGGCTTCAAAATTTTTTACTTTAGAATACTTTACTTTTTACGATGCATGCGTAGTCCATTTTCGAAAAAGTAATTCTTTACCGATGTCGTACATGGCTGATATAAGTGATGGGCCAAGTGGTAGCAATGACACGCTCAATGCCCATCACCATCTGTACAGTAGGCGGCCAGATGTTACCGATTACTCTAGAAATTTGAAGTTGTCCCAATCACAGAAATCCATACAAATTACGGTGAGATAGATTGAAAATTCTGTAAAATAACTAGAGGTTGTAGAAATCGCGATGATTCTGTAATCTCGCAATCGAACTACGATTGTCTTCCTTCAAAAATATTATCAAGCTTTTTGGATAATAATGCCGAATTTATAATTTCATCTTGCTCCTGTATGTTTTAACTTAAAAAAGGCGCGTGTGGCGCAGTGGTCGGAGGTGCCCTGCAACACATACGTGGAGTCGACTAATCTACGCGGAAAGCTTTATCCTTTATCCTTTTTTATTCTAACTGTAATTTCTTCCTCGATTAGTCTACCATCACAAAGCTCATTTTATGTTTCCGTTTTATGCAACTGAGATGTAACATTAGTGGTGTTTCTTACAAATTTTGCAGGTGAGAAATTGCGATGTCAAAACAGCAATCTCCGCAAATCCACTTCTACGGAATCAAACTCGGTCGCAAGCAGCGTGTCGTCCAAGTCGCAACAGTCCAAGACACAAGTCGGCTATGTGGCCAAAGAAGCGTTAACGAAAGCGCAGTGCAGTTACAACCACAATGATGCTGAGATATTTGCAAAATTGCGAACTGTAGGTATCTGCGGTGGAAATCGAATATTACTCTTTCGGGGGGTGGCGCGCTCACAACCACACCGATCGGGTTCATTATGTCGCCTTTCTCCCAGACAATGTTTTATAATACATAGTATTCTGCCATGAAAAATTTTAGTGGGCAGAAAATAAAAAATGTCAACATTGTGACCTCGACTCCTGCCTCAGCTTAACTGGGTTTAATGCCAATTTGTGCTTCCCAGATAAATCTCGCTGATGGGTGATTGTTGATCCATTGGTAGATAAAAAAAAGCCGAGAGAAAGGAGAAACGAAGAAGCAGTATAGTGTGGTGGTGAACACATTAACCCCTAGAAAGAGTAAAAGCGTGTTCGATCTCCACCGCAGACATCTGCGGTGTGGAGTTTTGCAACATTGTGGTTGTATTTCACATAATACCCATAGTAGGCAATAAATAAAAAAAGTCAACAGTGTAGTTGGTTTGGAAAATTTCCTCGCGGAGAATTCGATCTTGAAGACGTGAGATCGTGGATTCAGTGTTGCTTCTGAGACCGCTGGATTGATGGTTTCTTTGCAAGCAACTAAAAGCAAAACTGTTCAGGCACTTGCAGAAAAACTCTCTCTTGGCAAGCATCTCAGTAATTTTGGAGCGTCCGAGTAACTTGGACTCGTGTGGCGCAGTGTTCGGAGGGACCCTGAAACACACACGCGGAATCGATCCATGCGCCCATGGCCCACTTAGCTTTCCGTCCCAGCGAGGTTGGCAAATTGGTACCAGACCTGTCTGGGAGCATAGCATCACTGGCTCGATACATCGGTAGGCCACCGGGAGTCATTATAAAGGGCAGATATGCATTCATGCACCTACAACGATTCTTGATGAAGTATAATGCATGCTGCATCCCTCAGGGAATGCGGCCGCCGCGTTTTCTGCGGAGCCAGAATGACTCTTTTATCGGCCATACTTTGAGCGGCGATAGAATTGGTTCCTCCGTGACAACCAGTGATGATTGGCTTAATGGTTAAGGAATCGCACTAAAAGAACGTTATGTTGAACATTTGGTAGCACACAGGTAGCTTCGGCTATCACAGCTTTGCGAATCGGTGTGAAACATCACAGTGGTGAAGTACATCAAGCAAATCGAAGAAATGCATTAAAACCTTCAACTGCTGCACTCCTCATTGCTCAACAGAAAGGGACCGGTCCCTCCACGCGATAACGCTCTGCCAAACGTGGCACAACTGACGCTACAAGGATGAACAAATTGGGCGAGGTAACTCTGCCTCATCTACCATACTCGCCATATTGCTCGCCTTCCGAATACTACTTCGTCAACGATCTAGGTGGGGCTCTATGGCAGGAATCATTCAGAGAGAAAGCCAAGGCTGAACCGCTTTCAATGACTTCACCTCTTTCAAAAGTCCTGAATTTTTCTTTCCAACTAGTGTGAATAAAGTTGCTTCTCGTTGGCAAAAATGTGTAGAAACCGGCTGTTCTTAGCCCGTTTAATAAAGTTTTCTCTGAACTGAGATACAACGCACAGTAAAAGCGCAGGTTGCACTCTAACGTTAGTTTCCGAAAGACCAGATATTTAACAAAAATAAGGACAGAAAGCGAAAGATAGAAAAAATGTGATTTTTCTGTCTTCGACCAACCTTAACCATATAAATGGCTTCGAAGCACAAGAAAGTGAAGTTTCCAAGGGTACCATTCGTTCCAATATTGATCGACTGTAGAGCATGTATCGATAGTAACCCATCAGTGACAGACCCAGACAATTGACGATATCAGCGAATTCGAGACAAATTAATAGCTAAATTCGAAAACATCTGTTCCTCGGAAACGACGAGAACTTTTAGAAATCACATTTTTTTCAAATTTCGTTTTATTTCATACGACCCGCCCTTCATCCATCTATTTACCTATTATGACGATTCCAGCACTTCTCGCACTCGATTCGTTTCCTCGCAACCATCATCCACGAAGATCTTCGAACTTTTTATGTGTGGCTTCAGCTGTTGCTTTTTCTTTCGTCATGAATGTCGTTGAATGCTGGTTGAGTTGATTCTCTCTGTAGTCCTGAGATAGCCGAGCTAGAGCGTTCCCTCTTGGACTACAGAGAACAATTTCTTCACGGGCAAGGCGAGCACCAATTTCGCGACCTCGGTGGGTTAAGAGACTCGGTGAGTCTAGGTCGGAATCGAGCCACCACCGTGCTAGTGATGGTCAGCATCACTATCAATGCGCTATCCGCCCCAAAATCATGAATGTTTCAAGAACCGTGAAGTTCCGTCCAAAAACAAAAAGAAAGCAAATGTGCACATCATCGAAAATCAAAGATGTCACCATCTATTTGACATAGGAAAAACGTGGCCTTCTTTTTCATTAAAAGATTGAGATTTCCTATTGAATGCGCTTTTTTTCGTAGGATTTCCTTACATCGTTCAAAAACAAATTTTGAACCCTACCTATTTTAGCTGTTTATTTTAGATAAAAAAACCACTTCAACCATAATTTGGGAAAACAGCACTTTTTCATTCGTACCGTTGTCTGCAGCTTCCATCCATGGAGCTGAATTGGATTACTGGCTTGGCACTGGGTTCGACGATGTGTTGACAACTTTCCCCATTGGCGTAATGAATGGGATTTGGATGTATTTTTCCTTGGAAGCCGAGTAGAAAGGAGTTACAGAGTTCCACGTTTTTAAACGTTGGGCTTCACCTGTGATTGCGGACCGAAATCTGATGCTTGCGTTCGAAATTCTCTCGGGACAGACAATTTCAACGACTAGGCAAACGACCGCGAATAAGGAAGGTACAACAAGCCAAATCCTCTTTATGGCATTTTATAGCGACATTGCAAAGATTCAAGAGTAAACTAACAACCACTAGCAGTGTAAATCTGGAGCATAACTAGGATATTTGGAGGACCGCCTCTGGAGGAGAATAGTGGGCAGGTCAGTGTTAATTTGCAACTCTATTAGGTTTAATGCTAAAGTAACTTTGCGGGAAAAATTCGAAGACCTTCTGACTAAATCACATGACACTGCCTCAATAGCGCACAAAAATATCGCTAAGGAACATCAAACAGATCACAATAGGATAGGTAATGTGGAAGAAAATTCAAGGCTAACCGTGTTAGGAGGCAGGAGGCATAACTCTCCCTGACGGTGCGCGCTCGTTATTAGAATTGGGGCCGAGTTTCTCACCATCTGAACCTATTTCTAAGATAACCTTGAGTAGGGTCGCATGTAGTTTACATGAGCTTCGCAGACAGACTCCGCAAAAAACCTAGAGATGAAGCGCTAAATAGGTGCGAGCAACACCAAGTGAGGGCCCTACCAATAGCACCATTTCCCCCGACGTTCTTTAGACAACAAGAGTCCAATAATGAAGTTGATGTTAATTTTCGGATGTCTGCGAATGAAACTCTCAAAGTCCTTAATCACTATCGCGCGAAAAGATACAGCTCAAACCTCACTCCAGTGCAAAAACGCGGTATGCGAGAGGTACGAGAGCTGATAAGATCGAAAAACAAGACTGTCGGTTAGTGATAAGGGTGGAGAGCTTGTCGTAATTCCTCATCAGTTAGATGTGGAGATAATGAAAAAGCATCTTGAAGATGCCTCGCTTTATCGCCCATCATCTGAGAAGAAATTTAAAAGAAAATACCGAAAATTGAACCACGAATAGGCCAAAATGGCAAGGGCTGCTGGTTTAAAACCATCAGTTATCTCTCAGCTTAAAGGTGACTTACCAACATGCCCCGTCTTGTCCTTACTTATAAAACTTATAAGTTAGTGTCCAGCGATGATCCTGCGTCTACCGATCCATCACTATTTAAGGTTAGACCTATCATTAGCCGCGTAGACGGGCCAACGGACAGGATAACATGGTTTTTAACCCTAATATTTAACCAGTTGTTGAAACACATTCCAGCCCATCTTACGAATACCCAGATGTTTCTGGATCGTCTACGTACTGCGCAGCCCAACAGCGCGTGCGTGATCGAGTCCTTCGACGTTACCGCCCTTTATACAAACGTGTCGAATGACTCCGCAATGCAAGCCATATTCGAACTCCTTACACAACACGAAGGAGAAATAAACATGTATGGCTTCAGGATAGAGCACCTGATGGCACTCTTAAAAGAATGCTTGAGCTGCTCAATCTTCAGATGGTCTGGAAAGTACTACGCTCAAATAAGAGGGTTGGCAATGGGACAACGACTGGCTCCAAGCCTTGCCATTGCATTTATGTCTAAGGTGGAAGCACCGGTGACTGATCTCGGGCCGCTACTCTACTGTAGGTATGTAGACGACTGCGTTGTCCTTTGCTCAACACAAAAGGAAATGGACAAATGTTTCGAATTGTTAAACGCACAGTCAGAGTATATCAAGTTCACCCGAGAAAAGCCGAAAGAAAAATGGCTTCCATTCCTGAACGTCCAAATTAACCTGTCAGAAAATGGCTACATTACAAAGTGGTACCAAAAGCTAAGTAGTAAAAACATCTTGGTTCATTACCTCTCCTCTCATCCCTCTCACACGAAAAGGGCGCTTATAGGAAACATGTTTCGAACAGCAACCAACGTGTGCACGGGAAGAGAGCAGAGAGAGGAGTCCCGGAACTTGGCACGCAAATAGCCATTTCTAATGGCTACGAAACTGTAGCTCAGGGTAGGTGTTGAAAGAATTCCAGGCTTCCAAACGACAACTCCAGCGGTAGAAGGGTCCCTGCATATCAAGTGATACAAGTACAGCTATAAAACGCTGCTTAAGAGAGACGAGTTTAGAGAATTCGGTAAACGTAGTTGAAATACCACCGAGTAATCTTAAGCGCCAGCTAGTTAGTAACCTCCCATATGACCGTCTACGAATTGCATAATTTGCCCCAGTGGTAGAGACGGTGACTGCATGAGCTCGGGTATAGTTTATCTGATCTCCTGTAAGACGTGCGGTGACGAATACATTGGCGAAACGGGCAGACCCCTCTGTGTTCGCATAAAAAACACCTAGCCGGCAGACATAGACCAAATACCCCGCTAGGCACGCATAGGACCCAAAGAAATAACGGGGAGGACTTTGAAGTATGTGTCACGATCCTCGCACGCGAATCAAGAACACAGGCGCGAAAAACTCTCGAGGCACTCTGGATTAATTCCAGAAATCCGAAAATGAACCGCAGGGAAGAATGCCTCATTATCCCGCGTGATATAGGGCAGTATATAAGACTGTTATTCTGATGGGAGGGACACATTATGCTTCCATGTGAACTCTGTGCGGTTGGTCTCTACGTGACATACTTAGTGGAAACCTCATAGAAAGCGGTGAGTGTGCAAAGCTGTGTTCAATGTGATTGAAATCTTGGTTTAGAGTTCCTTTGTTTGGTTATGGAGGCGTCTGGCCGCGTAGATTGCTATCAACTTGACCTTTCCAGGCTCTGAGGAAGGCGAAATCCGCCGCAACGTCAGCTTGTTCGTGAATAACCTCGCGTTCGCTCAACAAAAATACGAAGAATTACTTGATCAATGCCGAGGTTAATAGAAAGTCGGTAGTGGGAATAACTAGGATATTGATAACAAATTTAATAGCAAACTTATAGAGCAACGTTGGTTTCAAAAAGACGGTGATTGTATCACAATGATGCTGAGACGTTTGCAAAACACCGGACCGCAGGTGTCTGCGTAATAGCGCATTCGTTCCCCACCGCAGACACCTCCGATTTTCAAATATCACAGAATCATTGCCGTTGTTTCACACGTAATAACCTGCCATGTAAAAATATAAAAAATTATAACAGGCAGTAAGTGAAAAAGTGAGCATGGTATCATTGAAAGTAATGAAAGTAGTTCAAATATATGGAAGCTGAAGTTAACATATGTAGGCTCCTGTTGCAGCTGAGCTTAGAAAAACAGCTCAAACGCCCTCAGAAGCACTGAACGCTTATGATTCAAAGGTTCAATGGGGAAATCGAAATACTTCGGCAAATCATTTCTGTACAAGAAGCGTGGAGATTACGGTATTTTCTCTGTGACACCTGCAAAGTGATGGTGAAATTCGATCACACACGATAACGGTATGCACGGTATTCGGAGTAGTCCTTCTGACGTGCCTAAGTGAGTCTCTAAGCCGTGATACCGCCTAAAAAAAAATGTTGCAGCGAGAGTTTTGTGGTCGATAAATCGGGTCATTCCTTCCGATCCGCGAAGGCTGGCATTTGCTTGTGGTGAACAGTGTGTTCCAGCACGACCGTTCAAAGATGGGTCCTAGAAGAATAAACTTGGCCATCGTTTATCGAAGTCCACAAAAGGAGACATGAAATTCACAAGCAGCAGTCGAAATTACACACAAAACCCAAGCCTTTGTGAAAAATGGATGCGAAGAAACACGTAGGATGAAGGAAGTATTTGGCTGTAGTATGAAATGTCGGGTTCCCTAATAAATGGATAAAGTGAAATAGTGCACAATTTCCCCGGTCGTTACGATATCATCGCTGCCAGGAAATTGGAAACTAACACTGGGTCGTTAATGGGCACTATGGGTCGATAAAATAATAGAAAACAACTAATTTATTCACCACTAGATCTTTTAATTGAAAGCCATGGTTTATCTCAAAAACGACATCGAGAACTTGGAAGTGCCGAAAAGAAATTGGAACTTATTCAGACTTGCAGGAAGAGCTTCTGTGCACTAAATATCATTCCTTGTATAACAAAGGATTCTCAGTAATCACTCAGTAGATGAACAACTTTATGTAAGAAGAGTTCTCAATAACCACCTAGTAGGTGAGAACTCATTTGAACCATCGTTTGCAGAATTTTGAAAAGAAGGAAAGATCTGAGGGAGATCCGGTTCGATGCGAGACGAAGACACCACATCGTGAAGAGGACCGATTGTGGACCATCGATAAGGATTGTCGCCTCTGATGAAGGCGAGAACGTCGAAACGTTAGCCGAATAAACATCTCATATAAACTTCGTGTAAGCTCAACAATATAAACAAATGCTCATCGTTTACACAGTTTACGTGGGTGAAATAAATGTCGCATTGGCCAAACGCATATCTTGTCATGAGCAAATTCAATTCATGCTCAGATATTTCCGACTGAACTACAGCTTTCGAAACTACGACAAATTTCGAAATAGACATAATGGTATTGAGAAAGCCGAAAGGGTGTAGATAGACAAACCATCAAAAAAAAGACAATTGGCAAGAAAAATACGGCTAACCTTCGAATCTTCACGTATTTTCCTGGACGCTAGGAGTATGTATAACAGTGGTGCGTTGAAAGCAACGCATAGGAAGCCCAACAAGAAGAGAGCAAGGTTGACGGAGAGCAAGTCGAGCATGTTCTGCACCAATTTGTCGCTAGCCGGCATCATGCCAGCTGCAGTGCTGTTCATTTCGCTCGAAACGTCTCTAAGCACTGCAGAAATAAAGTCGCTTGCTGGGTCTGGACCACTCGAGATCTAAATGCCAAGAATTTGTCGTGTTTTTTCACTCACTAGCTCTACCCTTGTACGGGGAATTTTTCGAGATTGGTCTTTCAAGATTCACTACAGCTCATCAAAATTTTCAGAGAAGTGATAATGAAATGTTCCTTGGCGTCAAATGGGCTTTTTCCGTTTCAATATTATGCAAGCATAGTGCTAAAAAATACGTAACGAAAAGAGTCAGTGTGGAAAAGCAGCCCACCTCTCAGCGTTTCAGTAAGCGCTACGTGTGCTGACGCTTTGACAACGCCATGAACAGGGATAGAAGTATTGAATGAAAAAGAAGTACAATCTCATTTCACTTCATTACGTGTTTCGCCTTAATGAATGCTTATGTGAACTGTAAATTGAGTTAAGACCAATTCAATAGGAGATTGTTTTATTACCACCAATAATTTTTCGATTACCAGAATACTTGAGGAATTGAGAACTTCATTGACTCATAGAAACGGATAAACCGAAATACACTGGAGAACAACGACAACGATTGCGCCAGAAAGAAGCGAGTGGAAATTGCGGAGCGAAGCGCACTAACAGTGAATAATGACTATCCAGGCATTATCATATGTATCGCTCTGTACGGATCGTGGCATTTAATGCATTCGGTTTGACAACCCTCGCAGCCAGCATTAACAAAAGTCTCCGAGCTTTCTGCGTGTTGGTTCGGCTGCTGATTGAGAATATTTCTTGATTGTCACGAATGCAGTTGAATGCTAGCCGAGTCGATTTTCCCTGGAATCCTCGGATAGGACGTTCCCACGTGAATTTGAAGGAATATACCACTTCGAAAACAAACGACATTAACTTCGAAAAGATCTAATGCCTGACTCTTACTTATATTAGTAGAAAGCCGATGAAGTACTGCTCAAAGGACTTGCGACACCTGTGGCATCAGTTTCATCAACAAGTAAACAACTCGCCGTTGGTTTGACTATTTTGAACATAAAGACAAAGCTTTATCAAGTGAAGATTGCTATAGACTCAAAAATATCGCTGACGTTGAAAAATTAAAGCTATTGACGGAAGTGGATTTCCAGGTAACTGCACCATAATTTTTAGCTTTTTATTTACTGCCTATTATTATCTTTCGCGGAAGGGTATTATCGTTTTTCACAGCAGGGTTCAAATCTGGGCTGTGGCTTAAGTTTTGCAAATATTTCAGCACAATATTTGTTGTGGTGCACAATGATTCCCTATATGATTGAGCCGATACGAGGTTGGTAAAAAAAACTTTTATTGTAGTACCGTTTCGGTGGCTATGCCTTCCCCGTTATCCAGTATGATCTGCTTTTCGGTGGGTAATGCGTGCGGGAATGGCGTGAATCAACGAACATCAGTCCTTGTATGAAAGGGCACCTGAATGAAGTTGATCTTTAAAGCGGCGCTCTCTCCAATGAATTCGACTCTTTGTGATAGCAAAGACCCACTTAGCGAGAGCGACCAGCCCTGGACCATCCACCCAGATCAACGCGGATCTGAGTAAAGCGAAAATGCCGAAACAGTAGCCAAATAAAAGTTTTTCTTAAATAAAAAGGTGAAAAATAGAAGAAATTTAGACTATATGGTGGAAGTCTCTATTTTCAATTGCGGATTCCCTTTTTTCGGTTAGCATCCTCATTTCAATAAAGATGATCCATGAGAAAATGTATACTGTGGTCTCGATTAGTTCTGGAGTAGATGTCCTCTTGGAAAGACCTAACATTTGGAACTTTTATTCCTTACATAACTAATATTAGTGGAAAAAAATAAAAAGTGGAGGCAAATAAATGTGCATGCAAAGGAGACATGTAATAAAGTAAACAATGAGCAAAAATAATATAACTAATGAGTTGTACAAACAAGAATTGGGAGGATTGGGATAACATATTGACGAGGTATTTTAAACCTCAAGTAGTTTTTTATTGTTTTATTTTACGCGACCCGTCTTTCACGTCTTCTGAGTGCATCCCAGCAATCAGTTCTCATACTCGATTCATTTTTTCGCGCTCACCATCTACGAAGGTCTTCCAACATTTGTATTTGAGTTTGATGACTGCTTGGTGATTTTCATTTCATTATGAACATCGTTGAATGCGGATAGAGTTGACTCACTCTGCTCTGTAGTCATGAGATAGCCGGAGTATGCGTTCCCACTTGGATTTCAGAGAGTGAACTTTTCCACACGAATCTGGTACTAATTTCCGGCCACAGAAAGATATGATGCTTCGTGAGAGCTAGGCGGAGTCGAAAGTGCATTGTGCTCGTGATTATCGGCGTCACTACTGCAGGAACGAATTGTATATCTTGCAAATATAGTGGGAACATACATATTCGAATGCCACCAGATGGGCTGCAGAGGAAATAAGTTGTAAAATCATCAGCAATCTTTGCGTAATGCTCACTGAGGAGGAGCGCACAAGGACAACAGGCCTCTTCATCCCTCTCAGGGCAGGTTTTTGGTGCCACAATAAATCACTTAAAAAGAACTTCGCAGAAGTTCACCGAATGTAATCCTTGTCGATTTCCGTTGCCTTCGAAAATGGTAACGTTCAAATTTTGAAAAAAAAGGGTTTTAATTTCCTATTTCCCTTCCTCCATCTTAGATTTTGTTCTTGTCTTTGCTAACTGCCTAGTTTTAAAATCATATTCTGTACAGTGACTTGTAAATTGAATACCGATGAAATTTTTCATTTTTCTTTTCTAATGATCGAGAATGAAGATGGAAGTGTTTGTCAACGGCCTTTTCGTCAACACGGCATCAAGCCTACGACACCATTCGTAACATTGTAGAGATTTATCAAGCAAACGTGCATATCCTCCTAACACCTATGACATTAGTTAATTAAGTTCGGTTTGATGGAAGATTTGACTAGCCTGAGGGGTAGGATTAGACCATAAACCCCTCGTCTATAGCAGAGGACTTCTAACCACTGCGCCACAGTCGGTCACTTTTATGCAGTATAATGCATATCCAGAAAAGCAAACAGAAATCTACAGATATTTCGTTATTCATTTGTCGCTACATGTTTCGTCTAGACGTCGCTTTCAAACGGTTACCGTCATCGTATTGAGTCGTAAATCGTCGTCACGGCCTTAAATATCTTCGGTATTCATATGATTGTTGTCTAATCTTGACATTTGACACTTGGCAGTTGAACGGCCCGCCCTCACTGGTTGTGCGAGCTCCAGCTTATGCTCCACCATTTATCGGAGATTTGCTGGTTAAGCCACTGTGGTTCCCTGAAATCTCAAGGTCAGCCTGGCTAAAGTCTGCTCCGGGTCTTCACCACCATGGGCAGCAGCAGCCCTTGTGAATCAGAGGAAGATTTGCCACTATGCGAACATGATACCAGGACGCTGGGGGACCCTGGTACTGAATATCGACACAATTGAAATATGATAAAGCCCTCATAAAGTGCAAGAGACAGCTGTTTTTTCTTTAGCAATCCATACCGAAGAACTTCATTCCGTTAATGAGCATAAACGTAGTTGTACGTAATTCCTGGAAATTCCAGCCGATAGTCATCACCTGGATAACGCCATTCTCCAATCTACTCTACGGGATTCGCTCAACGATAGTGAAATAAAATGTCTGCCACAATATTTAAAACTTGAGCTACTCTTAACCTTTTTATTTACTACCTATTCTTTTTAATGGCAGGGTATGTTGCGAAATATAACTTCCATAATGCTAAGATATTTGCAAAACTCTGGACCGCAGGTGTCTGCGGTAGAGAACAAACGCGCTATTGTCCTTTCCGGGGAATAACGCGTTCACCACCGCACCATGCGGGTCTATCGTTTCAGGCAGAAACGGCGGGGAGGCAGGCGAAACGAAGGATCCGCATGGTGTGGTGGTGAACGTGTTACTCTCCTGAGAGGATAATAGCGCGTTCGTTCCCCATCTCAAACACCTGTGTTTTGGAGTTTTGCAGATATCTCAGCATTATAGAAGTTGCATTTCGCAACTTGAGCTACTACACATTCTTCTTTATTGGCAGGGCGTTATGTGAAATGCTACCACAAAGATCGTGAAGTACGTGTAAAACTCGGATCCGAGGCCAGACTTTTCCAACCCTTGATTACCTCTTCAAGGACCTTCCTACTATTCTTCACAGAAAAAGTTTTGTTAGAACGCTGCAGTACCTTAACATCAGGTGGGTTTTTCATATATATATGTATATATATATTTCTGAAAGTGTAGGAGTCGTTTATTTAGAATTACTCTCCAGAAAGATTTTTGAACTTCTCTTTATGGTGGGGTTACTCATTTTCTTCCAATGAGACACAACCCTCATTTGAGCACTATTTTTGTTCATTCATTGTAGGTAGCCTGAGCGAGGCTATTACTTTACTTCAAATATCTATGAATCGGACTCTAATAAGTTTTCAATCTTTCAGTAAAGAAAAATTGAAGGTGATAATAAGGATGAAAGCAATATATTATTGTCTTTTATAAATGAGTTTCCACAAAAAGAAACATTTCAAAAAAATGTAGTCATAGGGTACGGTACTCGACAAGAAACCCAACAAATCACTTAAGCGCAATGCTTTATAAAACTACATGGCATTTCAAAAAATAAAGCTACAAACTAAAAAGAAATCGAGCCATTTAAAATGCTACGTTCGTATACGTTTAAAACCCTCCGTGGCTAAATACCATTACCAATTAGTCCTTGTGTTCAGCCAGTTTTTAGAAAACAGTTCGCTGTGGTCCAAATGTCATCAGTCATTCTAGCGGTGCGTAGCAACCAATAAACAGCCGTTAAAATGAATTCCCGATTTAATCTCGCCTTGCTTATAATATCTTTGCTTATTGTACTGTGCAGCAGAATAGAAACTTAATTACTAAAGTTTGTAGTTTTTCTTAAGAGGGTACCTTCACCTCAGAGAATAAATATAACCACCTGGATACGATGTTCAGTGAAAAAGTTCTCAATAAACTAAACCAAACTCAGTATGTTTTGGAACTTTGTAATTACTCAAACAAGTATTAT